GTTGCGCGGCGAGGAGGGAGCGGGACCCGCTGCCAGGCGGAGCGGAGTCGCCCCGGCTCGGAGCAATGGCTGCGCCGCCCAGGCTGCTCTGTGCCTCTTGGCTCGCGTTGGCGCTCTGGGGTAGGTGCTTTCCCTTCCCTCTTCCCTTCAGCCAGGTTGCCCCCCCGACGGCGGTGCTCGCCCCCGGCAGGAGGGGTCTGCAAGCACCGCGGCTCCGACCGAGGCTCCCTTAACGCTCCCGGGAGGACCAGCCTCAAAGCGGCTTTTTTTTTGTTTGTTTGTTTTGTTTACAAAAGGAGAAGGAAACAGCGTTCCCGTAGAGTTAGGAGGGATGGAACGGAGTTAACGCCAGCGGAGAAAATACGGAACCGCTAAGTAGACTCAGGGCGCGGAGCGTGTGCTTTAATACTCGTGCAAGTCCTTTACTGTTGCCCGTCGGCTGCTGTTCGGAAATTTGCGATGTAATTTAACATTTCGTTGCCTCAGGGAGGACGTGCAAACCGCCAAGCAGTGCACGTTAGTGCTAATTTTTCGTGCAGTCAATATAACCTGGAGTAAAACTATTCCACGGTGATTATGGTTTTTCTGCTTCAGCCAAAAAAAAACGTTGGTTAGTTTTTCCCAAGGCAGCTACATCTGATGTACACGTACACCCACAGCTCTGCGTGGGGCATATCTGCCTGTGCGTGTCTCGTTTAACCAGAGGGAAGCATGGTCCGGTGGCTTCTTCCTTATTTCTTCTAGAAAGCTGGTGCTGCCCGTGGAGCTGGTAGTACGGGAGAATTGGAATCGGGCTGTTCCTAGGCTAGGTCTGGGCTAATACAGCGCTCGAGGGAAGGGGTTAACGGTATCTCAGAGGCTGGGGAGGAGGGAGCAGCCAGCAAAGTCAGCACCTTCCATCAGTTAACCTCTAGGCTTCGGGGGCAGGTTTGGACAGACAGAACCCAGTTTCGTTTAGCCCAAAATGTCAGCAGGGATTTAGTCTGAGACGTGGTGCTGAAGCATGCCTTTTCTCACCAAGCATGTGCCTTCACAAACAGTGATTTTTGTCAGTTTTGGGGGAGAGCAGTATTTTGTAGTTGCCAGCGTTAGCACAGATCTGATTGGAAGCATTTTGAACAGGAATGCATGTAAAATCAATAACTCCTCCCGCTGCCAAATTTACTCGAGTCCAAGCCTCCTGGTTCCCAGTACTGCTTATGAAACCTAGAAACAGGAAGGGTGGCAAATCCTCCCAGTTCTGAACACGTTGCCAGTTTATAAGGTCCAGACCTTTTAACTTAGCACAAAGAGTGAGCTGCTCTCCACGTTCAGTTCTGGGCTTTCTCTCATTCTCGTCTGTAATTGCTACTGTAGGAGGAGCATGCTCAGCAGGCATGGGAGAGAGCAACAATGCCTCTAAAGTGGCATTAATTACTACGGGAAAAATTAAAGTTGTGGCAAAGCAGATGCTAGAGAGGGTAAATCCACATGAAGCGATCACCCTCTGTTAATTATTATGAATTATGTATATCTCAGAGAAGGAAGCTTGGTAAAATTTGGCATTTGAGACTGATCTGTTGTCAGAGGGTGCTAGTAATGAATGAAACGGTTTTCCATTTGGGAGGATGCGATCATAAATGCCAAGATGTGGATAACTGACGCCTCTCTAATTCTGTCTTATGCTTCTTCTCTGCCGCTCCTCTTCCCTAGCTGGTTTTTGTTCTGCAGTATGTGTTGAAGTTCCCTCCGAGACAGAGGCTGTCCAAGGAACACACATGAAGCTTCTCTGCATCTCCTGCATGAAGAGGGAAGAGGTGACAGCCAGCACGGTGGTGGAATGGTTCTACAGGCCGGAGGGTGGAAAAGATGAACCTGTATGTATGTTTGGTAGCTGAAGCCTTGTTTTCATAGGTCTTATTGTGAAACAGTCCAGTGAATTCATGTGAGAGAAGCCAAAAAGTATTTCTCAGAGTGTAAGTTTGTCCTGCAGCAGGATCCCCAAGGAGGACTCTCTAAGGGAAGGAGAGACCCAAATATGAACAGAAGCTTTCTGCCACATCGTTACTCAAAGTCTATAGAAATGCCCAGCAGGCTGCTTTCATACCACGGAGGAGAGAGGAGCTTGGAGTTCAGCTCCAAGCTGCAGATCTTCACAATTTCTGCAGCATTTTCCCCCAGAGGTTCCACAGCACCGCTTTGGAGCAGTAACTAAAGTGTCTTTTCCTCACTAAGCTGATTTCCATACTCGGGCACAGAGCAGGCAGAGCCAGAACCTACTGTTGAGTTCAGACATTTGGGTTTGTACATACACCTCCCGTTCCGTTCCTTGAATACCTAAAGTCCAGTATGCAAGGAAATCAAGAAGGGAAATAGTGTGGGGCCAAGTCTCCATTCTTAGGACACTTCTGAATCCCAGAGCTGATCTTTAGAGGTTAAGCAGGGCTCTGATACATCTGCAGGATGGAATTTACTACGTTTTGCCTCAAAGAAAAAGCAGTGGTGTCCTGATGGTGGGAGGATCTCTGAGTTGGTTTGGATCCCTGTCAGGAAAAGGTAAAATTTGTTTTCAGAGAGAATCAAAACAGACCGAGGGGTAACTGGTAAAATGGAAAATAAGATAAAGGCTGGGTGCACACGTTTCTAGCAGTTTTATCTGAGGATGAAGCATTAGATCAGCGGTTGCATTTCGCTGGGACTGAGCAGGGCCAGGCAAGACGACAAATATTCTGAGAACTAAAGGGGCCGCGCTAAGAAATGAGAGACAGGAATTCACTTTCAGCGACCTGGGTGATACATTTGCCAAAGTTTGCAAAGGAAAGCGCACTGGGCAGGCAAGATTAACGACAGGGACTGTGGTCAGCCAGAAACTTGCAGGAGATTAGGCCTGCGAAAGCCACCCAAGCTCTGCTCTTCTGAGGTGCCGTTTTCACACGGTTATATTTATCCTGCAACACTTCTGTTTCGGCTGAACATCCCAGGGCTGGCCGAAAAGGGATGTTTGTCTTTGCTGTATTTATTCTGTGGTCCCTTTTTAAGATGATCTTACACGCAGTGACTGACAGGCCAGGCCCGAAGACTGCAGGATCCTGGTTTTTAGTTCTGCTGCTGATCTTTTGTGTCATTGTCCACATGTGGGTCTGTTTTTCTGTGCCTTAGTTTTTCTACCTCTGTGACGGAGATAATTCGGTTTTCTGACTTTTGTAAAGTAGTCTCAGATTTTTGAGGTAAAGGACGATAAGAGTTGAATAGCTGCTGTTACTAAGGGAGCCATATCCCAGAGCGTACACGTGTGTAGCCAGAGGATGATGTTCTTCCCTACATATGCTGTCTCGTTGTCTGAGATACGAGTTGGTGATTAATCGGAACACCTCTTTCCATTTCCTCACAGATCTACGAGTACAGGAAAGCCAACCATGAATTTCCAAGCCGCTTCAGTGGCCGGTTACAGTGGAACGGGAGTAAAGATATGCAGGATGTATCCATCACTGTGTTAAATGTGACCCTGAATGATTCGGGGATCTACACCTGTAACATCACCCGGGAGTTTGAGTTTGAGATTCACCGACCTCTCTTCACCAGCTCCAGACTGATCCACCTCACCGTGGTGGAGGAGGGTACGAAGGACTGGCAGAAAGCGTGCTGTGCCTTAACTGGCCGTGGGTGTTGTCATCCAGGGGTAGAGTTTGTCATTGCATTGCAGAAGCAGGGACACTGAGCTGCCAGATAATTGTCTGCAACAAACACTGTGCAGGGTTTAGGAGGAAAAGCCCTGTGTTTTGATTGCCAGCTGCAGCCTCTTTTTTAGGCTCCGAGTGGTTGTGTGTGAATTTGGGAAGGTAGAATAAGCTCGGCAGGCTGGGGCAACAGCTGGGCAGGCACAAGAAGGAAGCAGAGGTTTGTGGTTTCTCTGCCTAGAACCCTCACTTCTCCCCTGGCAGCTCCAGGATGCTCCAGCACAGCCTCTGCCAGGGTACCCGCAGCAGCTGCTTCCTTGCTTCCGCCCCCTCCCTCGTGGAAGGATTCAGTCTCCATTTTGATATCAGTCCCTCGCTTCCACCTTCTCCCAGTCCCTCCTTCCCTCTGCGGGGCTCCTCAGTCTTTGTTCCTCTTGATTTCGCTGAGTTCAGTGCTGAAATCCTGGCTTGTTGGAAACCAGTGGGAATTCTGCTCTTCCCTTCAGAGAGGGACGTGAGCTTTTAGCCCTCATCTTTTTCTGCTGTGTCTTCCCTTCCCTTCTTCCCCACAAGCATCTCTGTGTTTTGATCTCTTTCAAGTCACTGGCGACACAATAAAGTAACACCAGGGAGTGGGACGCACAAAGGAAAGTGGGTGTGGAGGTGAGATCGCTAACGGGGAGCGATCCCTGTGAACGTGTGGGTGGCAGAGTGCAAGACACACAAGCCTGCGCCTGTTTGATTCCTCTGGAAGCACACAGCGGGGTCGCTGCTGGCGCATCCTGTGTGGAGCTTCTCCCGCTCCCGCTCTTTTGCCCCCTCGCGGTGTAGTGGCACCTGGGTATCCCTGGCAAGGCGGGGCAGGAAGGACGACAGGAGGGTGGAAAGTGTCTGTGGAGCTGTGTGTAAATGCTCAGAGGTTATTTCATTTTCTTAACAGCTGGAGAAGACTTCACCTCTGTCATCTCGGAAATTATGATGTACATTCTGCTGGTCTTCCTCACCTTGTGGCTGCTGATAGAAATGGTGTATTGCTACAGGAAAGTCTCTAAGGCAGAGGAGGCTGCCCAGGAAAACGCGTAAGTGTGAAATCTCTCCAGACACGAGCTGTTGTGTGAGGGTCCTTCAGATGTCTCAGACTGCAAGACCCAACTTTGCTATTGCCCGTTCCCAGCTGATGTTGCTGCCTGACACCACTGCGGGGTGTGGGAGTGCCCAAGGAGGCAGCACGCTTGCACAGTGCCCCGGGGAGGGAGCGTGGCCCCGCTGCTGAGCCGCGCAGAGGTGCTCTCCTGGCAGGGCTGCCTCAGAGAGCTCTCGCAGGCAAAGCTGACCCAGGAGGGACGTTCTGATTTTTATACTGGCCTGTTCCCCTCTTTCTACATACTTGGCTTGGGGATTGTATGTGGTAGGAAGCTGCGTGTGTAGGATCTAACAGTAGGGAAGGCTCAGTGTCTGCTCCTGACTGTGCCGAGGAGAGTTTCCTACTGCGAGCATCTTCTGCAGGTGACTGTTACGTTAGAGATACTCATGGGCATTCAGTATCTCTGCAAGGGTGAATGGACCCAAACTGCTTTTTGCACTTGAGGTTATGCTTTCCTCCTTCCCTCTGACTACAGGACAGACTATCTCGCGATTCCATCAGAAAACAAGGAAAACTGCGCCGTGCCTGTGGAGGAATAGCAGAGAGGAGCCAGCGGAACCAACGGCACCAAGGTAGGCGATAAGGAGTCGGTTGATCCCTGCTCGAGTCCGTCAGCCTGTCAGCTCACAGCGGGTTGGGTGTACGTGAGGCTGGAGAAACGCTGCGGGGGAGACTCCCGGAGCCTCCCCAGGGACCTCAGAAGCAATATAGGTATCTTTAGGTGGTGGGACTATAACAGCCCCTTAAACCTCTAACCAACACACGTGGTCGCTTCCAGCCCGTGGTGTAATTATGCCTCCTTTGCCTGTTCCTGTGGAGTTGGGAATAGGCACTGTCTGCCAAGGAAGTGTCTGCTAGGAAGGACTCTGTGTGCAAAAGACCAAAATCTCGATCTTTTAAAGTCTTGTTCATGTCCTGTCAGTTATCGTGCTAATTACGTCACGATCCTCACTTCAGTAAGGTCAAGTGACTCGTGCTCCAAGAGGAATTCTCTCGATTGCAGGGGCTCTGAAGACAGAAGGACCACGTCATGCCAGCCAGGTTTGAGGGGGAGCTCTGCGCCGTCGGGAGGAAATACGGGGAAGTGTAAATTCTCTTCCATTTGCCTTGGACTCTGTACAGCCTTGACTTTGGCCTCATGACTCCATTCTGAGCTGCCAGCCCATTTGCTAAAGGACTCTTCTTTTTGAAGCATGCTGAGCAAAGGGCACAGGGGTGTGGGCAGCACGGCTCCTTCCCAAGTTTCAGCCCCATCATCACGTTAATGGCTTTGTAAATGTTGTCATTTCTTAGCTGCTGTCACCACCACCTTTATTTGCTAAATATGCTAGTTCTCCATTGCAGAGGTAAAGGGTATGTATGCCATGTTACTCTGCCCTGCAGGACGGAATGAGGTCATCTTAGGGTGATCTGCCATGTGTTACAGCCCAAGCAGCCTTCTCGGTGTTAAAACAGAAAAAATTTAATTAATTAGCTGCTGCTTGGCAAGTTGCTCTGGACTCTGGGATGCCTGCGCGCGGGCAGAGTAGGATGAGGACTGTAATGCATTAGAACTGTTGAAAATGTGTAGTAGGGAGGATGAGTCCCTGTGCCATGTTCACACTTGCTTCTGGAGGAGGGAACTGAGAATATAGATCCTGAAATACTGCTACTTTGGGAGGCAGTCTGATGTAAGTATAAGAATCCCCTGTATGGTCCCCCCGCCTTTCATTGAGCAAGTGTCAAAATTCTTAGTTTCTTCCATTTGCCTTGCACAGCAGGTTTACTCTTCAAGTAGATGGAGACAGAGTGACAGGAATAACCCGCGGAGCTGTGTTCTGCAAGGACAGGCACGCCAGTAGGACGAGCTTTCCCGAAAGGAAAACAGCCTGATGCAAGTAGGCAAGGAAATGAAATAGCACACACAGCCCTCCCAGGGAAAGGAGGGGCGGCTTTGTAAAATGGTAGTACCTTTTGGAACTGTGACAGTCTTCTCATACTATAGTGTAGCACCACCTAGAGGAATAGACAGAAAACGCTTATTTTTTTCCTAGTTAATCGTTAATTCTTTCTTGCGATAATTAGTCACTGGTTTGACTAGTCAGCATGCGATGTAAGTCGTCCCCCACTGCACAGGAATCGCACCGTAAAGTCAGTGTTTCCCAGGCAAACTTACCTTTTCTGTTGTAGTGGTCTAAAACCAGAGTAAAACTTGTTTCCTGGCCTCAAATATAGATTAGTTGAGCTTAACAACTAGAATTACAAGGAGAAAAAAACAAACAAACAAAAAAAAAAACAACAAACACAACAAACCCAAACAAACCAGAAGTGTTGGCCAGGGTGGAATTGTACCCTAAGACAAGACAGAGGAAGGTTGTTTTGTTTCATATAGCAGACGTTGTTACATCCCTGCTGCAATGGAGCCTATACTGCTTGCAAGAGTTGACAAACCGCTTCTAAATAGTTACAAAGTGCTTGTGAATCAAGGCATGCTCCCACCTATGGAATTTCCTCTGCTTTGTTCTGCTGCTTTTTATGTGTTGCTAAAAATCACAGAAATTACTCCGTGACACAGTCAGGCCCAGGCCAGCTCTCTAACTGGCACTTGTTCAGAATTCCTGTTTTAGTGGTGAACTACCACACTGCAATCTTCACAGTAGGATCGCTCTCAAGTCTAGAGCCGAGTCCGGCAACTCGAGCGCATTTTCCAGATGAAGCACATTTGTAGTCTGGGCACCGGTTCCTTAAAAGCTAATATCCAAAAGAGGAAAAATCCAGTTGGATGTCTTCATTTGCCCTAAGCCACCTTGCCTGGCCTCAGGGAGATTTTGGGCATAATCCTCACTCTAAACCCACAGCAACAGAGGAGGGACTAGATTGTCAATCCAGAGTTTCCGTCACTGACCACGGCACTGACGCCCCTGGTGATTCTTAGGTAAGGTCATGTAACCTCTCTCCCACTTCAACTCTGCTCCTCAGACCCCGTGAAGCATTGAAAACTCTCTGGTGTCATACTGTTCAGTCAAAAAAGGAGTAAATGCAGAACATTTTGAGAGCTACCTCAGGTGGTAAAGAAGGGCCATCCTCTAGTCCTGCACCTTCCGGATCTCACACGCATCTTCACGATGCTTTTTTTGGAACTATCTTACACTTTTCCAGTTCCTGCAGATATGACTATTGCCCTGTGGTGTTCTAGGTAGGAGAAAACAGTGTGTAACTTTTGCTCAAGGTTCTCATAGCAAAAAAAAAAGAAAAAAGACAAAACAAAAAAAACCCCAACAAACTCCAAAATTGGGATTTTTTTTTCAAGGGTGGTGTTAAAAGCAGGCAGTGTCCTGGAGAGACGGTCCTGGGTGGTCTCTGAAAAGGCTCCCTCTGTGTTTGGAAGTGACAGAAGAGACTTTAGAATAGGCAGGATAATAAAAAGAACAAAGCACTCACAAGTCGCGCTGTTTGTTTGGTAGATTTTTTTTTTTTTTTTTTTTTTTTTTTTTTTTAATTTATACCGTACTTCCATTGTACTAGCTACTTTACATTAAGTTTTGGCTGCATAGCCTTTACAATTCCTAGGTTCTAGCAGGTAAGTTTCATTATCGTTTTACCGCATTTTGCGCACAGCGCAAAGTTTCTGACAGTTAGACAACTCCTCAAACAAAACCACGGTTCCTCCCCCACCCCACCCTGGAGTTCAGGTGAGCGCTACAGGCGCATGGGCCTCGGCCAACAGCCCCCCGTGGCGGTGGTGACACCCTCAAGGGACACACAGGGCGAGTGTGGGACCCGCTCCCCCTCCGCGCTGGCGTGAGGCGATCCTCACTCGTCTGCGGCGCACGCGCGGCCGTCGGGGTTGCAGGATCCAGGGCCTCGGGTGGTTTTTAGCAGCTTTATCCAGCCCTGGAGCGTGTGATGGGAGATGAAGTGCTGCCAGAAGGGTGCCAGGCCCGGGAGGCTGTAACGCTGCGATGGTTCCGCTGCTCCTCCCTCCGCCCTGACCGCGTCGGGCCGGGAGCCAGGGCAGTGCTTCTGTGTCTGCTCTGGTTAAGTGTCTGCTCTGCCTCTTTGCTGGATAAAGCTGCCGTTTTGTGACAGCTGCTCTCCCAAATCCTACCGCTGCTGAGGCAGGTTGGGCCCAAACTGAGACACGACCAAATGGCTCTAGAACCTGAGCTGCACCTTGGTTTTATTCCCTCACTTAATCCGGGAGTCTGGGTTGGGGAAGGTGGCCATTTAACGTTAGCAATGGAACTGGCCTAAATGAGTGAGGTAACAGAAACGGCCAGAGGAGGTACCTCCCTGAGCCATGTGCAAATACAATTCCTTCAGCAGAAGGAAGACCTTTTCCCTACTGAAAAAAAAATAAAACACATTCACTTAAAGAGCATACAGACTGCGGCAAGGAAAGGCGAGCAGGGACAGCACCAGGTCAGTCCACCTGTGACACAGGGATGATTGTCCAGCAGTGAAGGTGTGAGGGGAGAGGGAAAAGCTGTAGCAAGCGACTGCGAAACGGGGGTGGGAGAGGAGGGCATGGCGCGCTGCGTACCCATGCTACGAGCTAAGCCCATGCTGCCTGGCTAGATTGGGAAATAATCTCAATCGGCAGTCGATCGAGACAGGAGATTATTTGGCCAGTGTGCACATCTAGAAAAAGAAAGGTGTTATGGCACAGAGAGGCGCGTGGAGCCTGCAAGCACAGAGAGATCAGAGCATGCCGGGCAGGGGGAACGGGCCGGGGAGCCAGCACAGCCGCGTCTCGGAAACTACACTGACACAAATGTCCTGTGAGCCACTTACCTCGGCTGCTTTGGTTTAAGAGTCTCTGCTTTGAGTACGGTTTTAAGCAAGGCCCTCCCAGCTACTTTAACTAGTGCTGAGACTAGAAAGACTAAGCCAGAGTCCCCCTGACCGTGCCATGGAACACCTCAGTGGCAGCAAGCCTGGCAGAGACCCTCTCAGAAAGGTCTTGGAGTTCAGCACTTGGTCTGTCAAGAGCTGTGGGGCAGCAGGAGCTGCCCTGACAAACCTTTCCTTCCTCCGAGCCCGGCACTGTTGCTTTGAAGTGTTTGTTACTGACTCTGCTTTTCTGTGTACTGTGGACCCAGAAGTCCGACCTCTGAATTGGGAACTGCTTCTCTCGCCCTTGGGGAAAGCAGAGGCTGAGGGGTAGAGCGCAGCATCTCTGCCCCGATGGCAGAGGAGTATTTGGTGTGTGCCCAGGTGCCCCGGCTGGGGAAAGAGCCCCTTCACAGCTCTCAGCACTAGCCCGGAGGCCACGTGCACCTGGGTACCAGCCTGCACAGGCATCAGCTCACCTGCTGGCTTGGTGCCTACTGCTCACCTGAATGAACCTCAGGGAAAGAGGAGTCCCAAGCATTCTCCCACTCCTAGGAGCACGGAAAGTCCCTTTTAACTATCCAGAAGGGATTCACTGCCCCAAACCCCTGCCACTAACCTCCTGTTTGCAGCTCAGTCCGTGTGAGCAGCGCTGGTCTTTTTAGGGTTGGAGACTATCCCCAGCCCTCTGTCTTAGTGTGAAAGCTGCAGGCTGCCCTCTCGTCCATCTCCTCTATTTATGTGCCTTAGGGTCAGTGAAAGATGACGGAAACACACATCTGAGAAGGCAAAACTACCAGGAAAGGGAGAGGGATTAAGGCCACGTGACACACAGGTGCTGTGTTCACCAAAACTTGCCTCTATGCACACCTTTCTGGTTTGGTTTTTCCCTCTGACATGTGGAAAACCAAAGCGTGAGGTCTGCAACGATACTTTTCACTCCACCTCGGTGTATCTGCACAGAAATGACTGTAGAGCGTATCCAACAGGTCCCGTTTCAAGTACCCTGACCAAAACTGTCTTCAGCCACTATTTGGAAAACAAGTTTCTACCTTCTTGTATAAAGGTAGGAAAAAGCAAGTACATAGGCTACATGGTTTAGCGCTGAGGAGACACGTAGGCTAAAAACTCTGTCCTCATCCACACCCAGGTGAGCTGCTGAAACCAACGGGGTCTGTCTGGTAAGAACCCGGATTAAGCAGGCCAGGCTTTCTGAGAAGGGCTATGGCAATGCAGGCATCGTTTTCAGAGGCGGTTTTGAGATGGTGCTTTAAATCCAGCAAAGCACCATGCTTGGAAACCTTGCCTCTTTCAACAGGGGGTCACGTTTATAACAAAGGCATGCGGCATATCCTAAATAAAGGTTTTCCCTTTGCTGGCTCTAAAGCAGAGAAGTGGGGCGAGGTGGTCCAACGGCAGCCTGCTGCCCCGGACCACGGCTGGCTGCAGAGCGCGCGTTTACACACAGGTTACGCCAGCAGCATCACAGAGGGATGTCAGGGGAGAGCAAAGGGATGCGGCTTCTTTCTCTTCTCCCAAAGGATTCGAGAGACAGAAGGGATTTACGCGGAAGTTAGTAGCAGTTAATATCAATTAATATCAAAGTTTTCTGACTGAAGTGTGCCCTGGATTACTGGTTAGCTGCTGAGCCCCACAACAGCACGGTTATCCAGTGAATTCGTAGCCAGCTCCACTCCTACCCCTGCAGGTACCTTCCTCTCTTCTAAGCAGCACGTGCAGACCCAGCAATGCCCCCGCCTTGGGCACATGCTTCTGATCTTACCCCCTGGAATAACCTGTGTCTTTTGGTCCTTCACGGACGTTACACGCAGGTGCTGCACTAGATATATTGGGTATCTATGAATGGGCGATTGCGTAGGAGTTACCCAGGTCTCACATTCACTTTGAGCTGGTCCCAGATGCCATAATCCAAACGCCTCTCTTAAGGTCAAGCATGGGAAGGCATGTGTTATCAGAAGTAAGATTGCATCAAGCCAGGATTAGTGAGTGTATTCTTCTCCCATAGAAACAGGTGAGACAGATGCACGAACTGGCAAATCAGAGCCTTCAGTCCCTTCTCCCTCCTCCCAGTAGGTAGCATCTTACTTGTCGAGAACTAGGCTACAAGCTGTTGGCGTTAGTTTTCACATTTGGCTGGAGAAATGTTTAAAAAAAAAAAAAAAAATTCTCTTTCGTAGTTGTTCAGATTCTGCAAATCAAAACCTGGCTGCGCTCACCTGGCAGCTGAGCAGCAGCAGAAGGGTCAGAGGGAGGACGCGGCAGGGGACCACGTCTGTGAGGTGCTGCAAAGAAAAGCAACCCTGCCCTGGGATTTCTGGCACAGGCAAGCGAGGAAAGCAGCAGAATTCCGACACTGGAAGCCAAACTACGACTTGGCTCTGACTGCTTAGGGAAGGCAGAAGTTCCACCCCCTGTAACGTTGCTCAGCCTTGCTCCTAGAAAGCGTTACTAATTTCTCCAGGAAATAAAAAGTGATGGGTCCAAAACTGTCTATGGCTGCAAAAGGAATTCATCTGGCAGTTGGGACTCGGCTGCAGCAGCAGGTGACTCCTATCACAGCTCTCTAGAGGAAGGCATCTAGATGAAAACATGCTGAGGTTTTGTTTTAAGCCCTCACCTTTAGTGCTGTTGTGGGTTTTGCCTTAAGGAAAACACCTTGCTTTTCTCTCTTTTATTACTACTGTGATACAATTAAGAAGCAATAAAGATCATGACTCCTATCCAACTCCCAAGCCAGACTTGCTGCCAAATGGCAAAAAGAAAGTCAGTAACTAGGAATCGGAGAAAAAGAAACCTAAGGCCTCAAAGAGAAACCTTCCTCGGCCTGAAGGGCACCACATGTGCAAGGTTCTGTTGGGTGACCACCACCTTCGTGCTCTTTATTGAAGGATTTTAACATGACTGTGCGTCAGGGTACGTCAAACACGTTAAACCCAGATTAAAGTAATCAATATTCACTCTGCTCACCCAGTGAGACTGTTACAGCTGGCTCTGCGTGGCCTTGCATTAATTTAACGGAGCTTGTGCCATTCCGTCTGCAGGGGCAAGCCCGAGGAAGCCCTGTTAGCAGGAACATCCCAAATCTGACGGGACAGCACTCCGGAATAACACACAGAGGAAACACACAAGGATGGCTGAATGGATTTCTTTCCTCTGGAACTACCAAGGGAATGTGAAATGGGTAAGAAACCAACCCTGATCACTAGCATTTATTCTCACCCCTCTCACACAGGTGGGTTTCTCTGCCTCTCGATGGGTGTCTGTCTGTACAAAACCCTCCTGGCCAGGTGGCAGAGACCTGCCACGCTCCAGGTTTCTCTAGAGGTGGCTTTTTTCTCTTCTGGCATGGGCAAGGTGGCAAGCGCAGGGCTTCCCCTCTGTCTTGTTTCTTGATGCTTGGAATTCAATTCTAGAAAAGTGGAAGATGGGCAGCAGGGGATTTTTCTGTGCTTAGTAATTTATGGGAGGGACTGATGGGGAAACAGGACTCCCAGCCTGTGTGGCAAGTCAGAGGGGAGAGTCAGGGCCCTCCTGTCCCAAGATGAGACACAGAATGCCCCTCCCAGGCACTAGCACCTCAGTTTCATTGTACAGTAGCCATTTCAGCAGCCTCCCTGGAGACAAGTCAGGGAGCAGTACAGTAGTCAGCAGCATTAAATTAAATAAATAGTCATAAATACATGTTACTCTCTAGTTGTCGAGACACGTTCTTTCCCTATTGTACCTTGCTTTCACACCCTTAAATGTCTTTTGATAACCCCTCTTCATCCACCCTCCTTCAATGTGAGTCATCTTCTGTGGGACGTGTTTAGCACCTGGTCATAAAAATTTTAGGCAGATTGGGAGAAATCAGCAGGTTACTTCTACATACATTACCTTTCCCTAATTAGACTGCAGGAGCAAGAGCTTGTGAGGGTTTTCCTTAGACTCCACTTTGTTACCCAGCTGTGCCCACGAGGGTTTCTGGTACAGAGGTGCGAAGACCAGTCACTCATCCTTAGGTCCCTGCTCTTTCAACACCCATTGGAGCTAGAGACAGACAAGCCAGAACTGCAACGTTTGTGCAAGGGGAAGATGCAGCTGACTCTCTCCTGCTGTTCAGGTGGAAAAAATCCTGGTGGTGAACAAGGTGGAGATTGAGGGCCTCGTATATCACCTAATCTCCCTGGCTGGGTAAGATGAGAAAGCATTTATTAAATATTCAAACAAGCATCCCCACCAGTCACAGCGGCGTTCAGCACAGCGCAGCCTCGCCGCCCCTCTTCCTCCTTTGGCTGCTAGTGGGAGGCTGGAATTATCCCCCAGACCAAGTGAAAACAAATACTGTCTTTTTAATGCAGCTCTACCACCTGCCTTTGCTTACAGAGCAAATCCTTCACTATCCAGCTTGTAAGAGATACCAGTCAGATGCCTCACACCGTGGATACCCCTCCAGACCTATCCTGCCACCCGCTGACAGTCCCTTATTTTCTTTTCTTTTCTTTTTTGGTCCCCATGACCCTTCCTAACCTTGTCTGGGCTTTCAGACACCTTGTTGCTCTATAGATGCAGTCATGTAAATATCCACAGTGAAGGAAATGGTTCTTTTTCTCCCTAATGTTTTCCTGCAGAGTTTCTAAGACAAGGTACAGGTTAGGTGGTAACAAGCAAAACACTCTCGCAGACCAGGGGGCTGGAGGGAAATTTGCTGAGCAAGGTAGCGGGAGCAAATAAATACTAATTTTTGGTTTTCTTTTTTAAGTGGGGGTACTCCCCCTGCTGTGGGAAGCCGCACAGGTAGTCGCCCTTTCAGCACCGATGTAGATCTTCAGCACAGGGCTGGCTTAATGGCAGGGGCCCAAGCACACAGAAAGCAGAGAACAGCGGCTGTAAAGGGGACACTGTCAAAGGGAGTGGAAGTGTACTTCCTGCGGTGGCCCTCTCCTCCCTCCACACCCCTTGCAGGCACATACTCCCGTCCCCACCCTCTCCTCGGCTCTTAATGCACTGTCAGTACCAGGAGGCAGCAAACTAGTGTTTGGAGAAAGCATTTCGGCTCAGTTACGTTCTGTGCTTTGCTCTCTGAACCGGGCTGGCCAGCGTGACAGCAAATTCCGTTTCTGCTCCTGGAAGTACAGAAGGTGATTGCCGGTGCGATCTGCTCTCTACAGACCTACAGCAACTCCTCCGGAGGCCTCCTCTCCAAATGCGGAATAGTTCTGTACGGGATTGACACAAGATTGCCAAAACCTCTCTGCCCTGAAGCCAGCAAGGTAAGAGAGTTGACAGTGTCCCCTTTGTACGTATAGATAGAGTCCATCGGGGACCTGCATGCGCAGGGAGG